CCAGGCTAATAAGCTCCTGAAATCCATATTTCGTCTCAAAAAAACCCTAACAGTCTAAACTCAGAGAATTATTGAGCTGGCCTTAAAAAAAAATACACGTGTTCAGCTGAAAAACACAAACCTTTGACAATCCTAATCAGACGTGACATTCTCTTCTACGGCATCTCTGTGATTCATTGTTTTCCTGTCTTTCGAAGACATAATTATTGATTATATTCTAGAAATAGCGTATACTTGCAGATAAAGTGACTTGTTCTCCACCAGTTTGTCCATACTTCTGACATAAAGCTTTAACTAGGGTTTTTTTTTTTTTTTCTTCTTCTCAGGCTGTTACAAAGTGATTGTGCACGTCTATTTCAGTGAATCAAAATACCCCTTTAATGGCAGCAAAGAAAGGATTCAGTCACGGCCAAAAATCTTGTCCCCCCTGCATTTCTGTCAGATAACGCACCACTTTGCCCCGAAAATTGTTGCAATTGCAAATGTTTCGGCCTTTGTCATGTTTATTTCTTTTGTTTGTATTGGTGTGACACAAAAAAAGTGGAGAAACAAAAAGCCAAATCTGACACATTCCACGCCAAATTCCAAAAATGGACTGGACAAAATTATTGGCACCGTCATTTTAATATTTGGAAACACGCTCCTTGGAAATAATAACTGAAATCTATCGCTTCCTGTAATCATCAATGAGTTTCACCTCTTTCTTTGCAAAACTGCTCCAGGTCTTTTCCGATTGGAAGGGTTCCTTTTCCCAACTGCTGTTCTGAGATCTCCCCACAGCTGCTCTATGGGATTGAAATCTGGACTCATTGCTGGACAGTTAACCACTTCCAGTCCGGACACTTTCCCCCCCTTCCAGTCAGGACACTTTCACCCCCTTCCAGTCAGGACACTTTCCCCCCTTCCAGTCAGGACACTTTCACCCCCTTCCAGTCCGGACACTTTCCCCCCCTTCCAGTCAGGACACTTTTACCCCCTTCCTGTCCAGGGCAATTTTCAGCTTTCGGCGCTATCACACTTTGAATGACAATTGCACAGTCATGCAATACTGTACCCATATGAATTTTTTACCATTTTTTTGAGACAGATAAAGCTTTATTTTGGTGGTATTTATTCACCGCTGGGATTTTTATTTTTTTTACTATGTAAATGAAAAAGTCCAAAAATTTTGAAAAAAAATTTTTTTTTTAAATAAAATTTTGCAAATAAATAATATTTCATCATAAATCTTGGCCAAAATTTATTCCGTTATTTTTTTAGTAAAAAAAAAAATCCAAATTAGTTTATAACCAAAAATTAAAATTTTTAAACTTTTTTTTTTACACATTTTATTTTATTTTTTTATATTATTATTTTTTATTTTTTATTTTTTTACATACTGTCACCCTAGCAGTACAGTGTCACCATGGTGACACTGTACTACTTGTGGGGGGTGATGAAGATTTTTTTTTTTACACTGATTGCTTTTACACACCATATTAGGATGTAAAAGCAATCATTTCTCTTTCTCTCTGTCTGCATTCTTGCAGTCATTGAGAAGTACTGAGTGAGCTGTGATTGGTCACAGCTTGTCACATGGTACAAGGCTGTTGTGAATAGCCTTGTACCATGTGAAGTCTGTGATCATTCACAGATTTCACACGTAAGCAATGATGTCAGAAGTGACATCTTGCTTAGTACTTTGCATGTGATCACTGATTCGCCAATCAGTGATCACATGATTGGGACCTCGTACAGAGGTCCCGTCCGACGATCGGTGTTTCACTGTGTCCGGAGGAGCGCGCACAGCTAGAAAAGGCGGGTGCCATTTATGAACGGCAACCCGCCCCTGGAGTGCCACCGCCCTTCCGTTTATCAACAGCAGGCGGTCGGCAAGAGGTTAAGTCCTCTCCAGCGCTTTGTCTGAAACCATTTCTGGGTGCTTAGTGATGTGTGCTTTGGGTCCTTGCCCTGCTGACGGAGACCCAACTTTCTGACACCGGGCCCTACATTGCACCCCATAATTCTTTGGTAGTCTTCATATTTCATAACGCCATGCACACGGTCAAGACATCCAGTGCCTGAAGCAGCAAAGCAACCCCAAAACATCAGTGACCCCCCCACCATGTGTGACTGTAGGGACTGGATTCTTTTCTTTAAAGGCCTCATTGCTTCTTCTGAAAACAGTAGAATGATGGGAATGTATAGAGGATCCTCCTACACTTAAATGGAGCCCTAAACCCTAAAGCTGCTGACACCAACCTCATACCCAGTAAGTGTAAGTAGTAAATGATACACACAGTGTAGAGCTAAACAAAAACTCCTAAAATGATACTACCAAAAATCTAATAAATTGCAAAAATAAAAAAAATATATAAGTGATAAGCATAAATATAAGTGCACAACACTCGATCCCCCCTAAAATCCACACTTGAGGGATCCAAATGAATAATATGTGCAACACGTGAATTCCTTCTATGGGGACATAAATAGTGCAAACAGAGCTATGCGTCATATAACACAACAAAAATGTGAATAGCACTAAACAATACTCCAATCGGTCAGCAAACAGATATATACCCTACAATCAAGTCCCAAAACATATATAGTGGGGCAAAAAAGTATTTAGTCACCACCAATTGTGCAAGTTCTCCCACTTACAAAGATGAGAGAGGCCTGTAATTGGCATCATAGGGAGACCTCAACTATGAGAGACAAAATGAGAAAACAAATCCAGACAATCACATTGGCTAATTTGGAAAGAATTTATTTGCAAATTATGGTGGAAAATAAGTATTTGGTGAATATGAAAAGTTCATGTCAATACTTTGTTATATATCCTTTGTTGGCAATGACAGAGGTCAGATGTTTCCTGGAAGTCTTCACAAGGTTGGCACACACTGTTGCTGGTATGTTGGCCCATCCTCCATGCAGATCTCCTCTAGAGCAGTGATGTTTTGGGGCTGTCGCTGGGCAACACAGGACTTTCGACTAACTCCAAAGGTTTTCTATGGGGTTGAGATCTGGAGACTGGCTAGGCCACTCCAGGACCTTGAAATGCTTGTTACGAAGCCACTCCTTCGTTGCCCGGGCGGTATGTTTGGGATCATTGTCATGTTGGAAGACCCAGCCACGTTTCATCTTCAATGCCCTTGCTGATGGAAGGAGGTTTGCACTCAAAATCTCACGATACATGGCCCCATTCATTCTGTCCTGTACATGGATCAGTCGTCCTGGTCCCCTTGCGGAGAAACAGCCCCAAAGCATGATGTTGCCCCCCCATGCTTCACAGTAGGTATGGTGTTCTTTGGATGCAACTCAGCATTCTCTCTCCTCCAAACACGACGAGTTGTGTTTCTACCAAACAGTTCTATTTTGGTTTCATCTGACCATATGACATTCTCCCAATCCTCTTCTGGATCATCCAAATGTTCTCTAGCAAACTTCAGATGGGCCCGGACATGTACTGGCTTAAGCAGGGGGGGACACGTCTGGCACTGCAGGATCTGAGTCCCTGGCGGCGTAGTGTGTTACTGATGGTAGCCTTTGTTACGTTGGTCCAGCTCTCTGCAGGTCATTCACTAAGTCCCCCCCGTGTGGTCCTGGGATTTTTGATCACCATTCTTGTGATCATTTTGACCCCACAGGGTGAGATCTTGTGTGGAGCCCCAGATCGAGGGAGATTATCAGTGGTCTTGTATGTCTTCCATTTTCTAATTATTGCTCCCACAGTTGATTTGTTCACACCAAGCTGCTTGCCTGTTGCAGATTCAATCTTCCCAGCCTGGTGCAGGTCTACAATTTTGTTTCTGGTGTCCTTCGACAGCTCTTTGGTCTTCACCATAGTGGAGTTTGGAGTGTGACTGTTTGAGGTTGTGGACAGGTGTCTTTTATACTGATAACAAGTTCAAACAGGTGCCATTGATACAGGTAATGAGTGCAGGACAGAGGAGCCTCTTAAAGAAGAAGGTACAGGTCTGTGAGAGCCAGAAATCTTGCTTGTTTGTAGGTGAACAAATACTTATTTTCCACCATAATTTGCAAATAAATTCTTTCCAGATCAGCCAATGTGATTGTCTGGATTTGTTTTCTCATTTTGTCTCTCATAGTTGAGGTCTACCTATGATGCCAATTACAGGCCTCTCTCTCATCTTTGTAAGTGGGAGAACTTGCACAATTGGTGGCTGACTAAATACTTTTTTGCCCCACTGTATGATGGTGCTCCAACTTCCGATACTGTGTAGGTGATCAATACGTGGCAATCCTTCAGTGGCCAAAATGCCCCCTCACCTCCTTACATAGACCCCAAAGGGCCAGCTCGCTTAGGGGATCACTCCGATCTTAATAAGGACAGACTCATCACAGGCTCCCCCTCATTGGTGGTATGTGCTCCTCAATCCAGGCCTCCACACAGCTACCAGCAAACCTCTCCCAGGATCATAAGAAAACAAAAAGATCCTCCATAGTGTAACCTGTTTATTTCTAGAATATGCATAAATAAACATAAAAATGTCCACTCACATTTTTCTCCCTCATATGTCTGCCTTTCTACCACATGCTAAAGGTGTACTGCATGGGTATCTGCAAAGGGTGTTCCAATATGGCCCCCACCCTGGAAATGACGTCACTGCGTTACCGGAAGTTCCTCCCCGCGTACCGACGTGTTGCGTCACACTTAGCACGTGACCCTGAGGAATGCAGTGTCCTGGGAGACCAGATATAGTGAATGCAGGGTCCGGGGAGAGCGGATATAGTGAATGCAGGGTCCGGGGAGACCGGATATAGTGAATGCAGGGTCCTGGGGAGAGTGAATATAGTGAAAGCAGGGTCCAGGGAGACCAGATATAGTGAATGCAGGGCCCTGGGAGACCAGATATAGTGAATGCAGGGTCCAGGGAGACCGGATATAGTGAATGCGGGGTCCCGGGGAGAGCGGGCGCTATAGTGAATGCGGGGGTCCGGGGAGACCGGATATATAGTGAATGCAGGGTCCGGGGAGAGCGGATATAGTGAATGCGGGGTCCGGGGAGACCGGATATAGTGAATGCAGGGTCCGGGGAGAGCGGATATAGTGAATGCGGGGTCCGGGGAGACCGGATATAGTGAATGCAGGGTCCGGGGAGAGCAGATATAGTGAATGCAGGGTCCGGGGTGAGAGCGGATATAGTGAATGCGGGGTCCGGGGAGACTGGATATAGTGAATGCAGGGTCCGGGGAGACCAGATATAGTGAATGCAGGGTCCGGGGAGAGCGGATATAGTGAATGCGGGGTCCGGAGAGAGCGGATATAGTGAATGCAGGGTCCGGGGAGAGCGAATATAGTGAATGCGGGGTCCGGAGAGAGCGGATATAGTGAATGCAGGGTCCGGGGAGACCGGATATAGTGAATGCAGGGTCCGGGGGAGAGAGCGGATATAGGGAATGCGGGGTCCGGGGAGAGAGCGGCTATAGTGAATGCGGGGTCCGGGGAGAGCGGAGGATATAGTGAATGCGGGGTCCGGAGAGAGCGGATATAGTGAATGCAGGGTCCGGGGAGAGCGAGATATATAGTGAATGCGGGTCCGGGGAACCGAATAGTAAATGCAGGGTTCGGAGGAGAGCGGATATAGTGAATGCAGGGTCCGGGGAGAGAGGATATAGTGAATGCGGGGTAATGCGGGTCCGGGGAGAGCGGATATAGTGAATGCGGGGTCCGGGGAGAGCGGATATAGTGAATGCGGGGTCCGGGAGAGCGGATATAGTGAATGCGGGGTCCAGGGAGAGAGGATATAGTGAATGCAGGGTCCGGGGAGAGCGATATATAGTGAATGCGGGGTCCGGGGAGAGAGATATAGTGAATGCGGGGTCCGGGGAGAGCGGATATAGTGAATGCGGGGTCCGGGGAGAGCGGATATAGTGAATGCGGGGTCCGGGGAGAGAGGATTTAGTGAATGCGGGGTCCGGGGAGAGCGGATATAGTGAATGCGGGGTCCGGGGAGAGCGGATATAGTGAATGCGGGGTCCGGGTAGAGAGCGGATATAGTGAATGCGGGGTCCGGGGGGAGAGCGGATATAGTGAATGCGGGGTCCGGGATGCGGGGTCCGGGGAGAGAGGATATAGTGAATGCGGGGTCCGGGGAGAGCGGATATAGTGAATGCGGGGTCCAGGGAGAGAGGATATAGTGAATGCGGGGTCCGGGGAGAGCGGATATAGTGAATGCGGGGTCCGGGGGGAGCGGATATAGTGAATGCAGGGTCCAGGGGAGAGCGGATATAGTGAATGTGGGGTCGGGGGAGAGAGGATATAGTGATATGCGGGGGTCCGGGGAGAGAGGGATATAGTGAATGCAGGGTCCGGGGAGAGCGGCGGATATAGTGAATGCGGGGTCCAGGAGAGAGGGATATAGTGAATGCAGGGTCCGGGGAGAGCGGATATTGTGAATGCGGGGTCCGGGGAGAGCGGATATAGTGAATGCGGGGTCCGGGGAGAGCGGAAATATACTGAATGCAGGGTCCGGGCGAGAGAGCGGATATAGTGAATGCGGGGTCCGGGGAGAGTGGATATAGTGAATGCGGGGGGTCCAGGGAGAGAGGATATAGTGAATGCGGGGTCCGGGGAGAGCGGATATAGTGAATGCGGGGTCCGGGGGAGAGCGGATATAGTGAATGCAGGGTCCAGGGAGAGAGCGGATATAGTGAATGCAGGGTCCGGGGAGAGCGGATATAGTGAATGTGGGGTCCGTCCGGGGGAGAGAGGATATAGTGAATGCGGGGTCCGGGAGAGAGAGGATATAGTGAATGCAGGGTCCGAGGGAGAGCGGATATAGTGAATGCGGGGTCCAGGGAGAGAGCGGGGTATAGTGAATGCAGGGTCCGGGGAGAGCGGATATAGTGAATGCGGGGGTCCAGGGAGAGCGGATATAGTGAATGCGGGGTCCAGGGAGAGAGGGATATAGTGAATGCGGGGTCCAGGGAGAGAGGATATAGTGAATGCAGGGTCCAGGGAGAGCGGATATAGTGAATGCGGGGTCAGGGGGTCGGGGAGAGCGGATATAGTGAATGCGGGGTCCGGGGAGAGCGGATATAGTGAATGCGGGGTCCAGGGAGAGAGGATATAGTGAATGCGGGGTCCGGAGAGAGGGATATAGTGAATGCGGGGTACGAGGAGACCGGATATAGTGAATGCGGGGTCCAGGGAGAGCGGATATAGTGAATGCAGGGTCTGGGGAGAGTGGATATAGTGAATGCAGGGTCTGGGGAGAGTGGATATAGTGAATGCAGGGTCCGGGCGAGAGCGGATATAGTGAATGCAGGGTCCGGGGAGAGCGGATATAGTGAATGCAGGGTCCGGGGAGAGCGGATATAGTGAATGCAGGGTCCGGGGGAGAGCGGATATAGTGAATGCGGGGTACGGGGAGAGCGGATATAGTGAATGCGGGGTACGGGGAGAGCGGATATAGTGAATGCAGGGTCTTGGATTTAGTTACACTTTAAAGTCTCAGCCAGAGTCAAAGATAAAACAAGGTTACGACTACCTTGCGACTTTTGTGATTTTAACATTGCAGTCTCTGGCAGACACATCGCACCAAAGACGCTGAAAAGTAATGCAGGAACTAATTTTTTTGCCACTGCAGCCATTGAAATGAATGCGTTTTTATTTGTCTTGCGACTCTCTGTGTCGCAGGTGGAGGCAAAGTCGCAGCAGAAGTGGCAGCAGTGTGAACTAGGAGCGTCCCATCTCTCTGACAGTTGCCCCAGAAAGATCCTCACAAAGCCCATTACATATCAACTCGTTATGAGTATATATCCTTTTTTTTTTCTTGTCAGGAGTTCCCCTTTAAATCCAAGCAGCCCGAGGAAGCGATCCAGGCTGTAATTCTTTCTGCTGGATACAGAGAATGTAACTTAAAGGCAGGGAAGTGGAAAAGTCTTTTGTATGTATATCATACCCGGAGTTCTGGCTTAATATCCCAGACTGGACAGGAATGGACCATTACTATGATTTACTGAAAGGTGAGCGGAAACAATTCTTCCAGAATGGGAGATTTTATTGAGAGGTGCTGCCCGTGGCTGTGCCCGGAATACACAATCAGGGTGAGAACAGCAGGCAGATCCTTATCGCCGGGAATTCTTGCGGCAACACGTGTGACATACGTGACGCTGTGACCTGGACCGTTTTTTGGGGAGCAGGCAAGGCTGCAAGCTGATCATTGGCAGATCTTTAATTCATTAATACCAATGATTTTTTTTTTGGTGGGGGGGGGGGAGTGATGGCCGCAGTCTGACACAGACGAACATACACATGCAAATACGGGTTTTGTAAAATGCGTTTTCTGCTTTTTGCCAGAAGACATCCGAATGGCAACCAGGGCACCTGCGCACCTTTTTATGGGAAATCACATCAAGCTCAACTCAAAGTAGAACTTCCTTCTGTCAAGAAACGTTATCTTTAAAGCTGAATTCCAGATATTCAGCTCCTTTGTAAAAAATGAATTCACACTAGGAGTTAAAGTGTTACTAAAGCCACCACAGTGAAATCAGTCTGTATCAGGGGCGGACTGACAACCCATGGGGCCCCCGGGCAATAGGGGATCATGGGGCCCCTGTGTCCTTGCCCAAACTCAAAAAAGCCTATGAAAAAGGTACCAAGAGCATGTCATGGGGCCCCCTACTGACCCCGGGCCCTCGGGCAGTGCCCGAGTTTCCAAATGGGTCAGTCCGCCCCTGGTCTGTATATGCAGGAAAACATGCTTGTTATACTCACTGTGGAACCTAAGGGTTAATCCTCTGCATTGTGTAAAATGGCTGTTTGATCCTGCCTTCTCTGATCCTCCTCTTGTTCAACTATCCACGTTTTATCTCCTAAGACAGCCCGAACCCTTGGCCCTTCTGCACATGCTCAGTTTTAGTGTGTATTGCTAAAGGGGTTTTTTTTGTTTTTCTTGAGAGAGTGCATGTGATCAGCCCAGGGCCAGTCAGCACTGTCCAGACAGAGGTCAGGGGGTCTGCATCCTCCTAGAGCAGAAAAAAAACCTTCTCCTACAAGATTTAATCAGTGCTCAGCTGGACACTGATAGAAGTCACAAGACTACTGTATACTGCTGATGAGAAAAAGTAGTTAGCAGTTTATATTTGCTAAACGAATTGCATTTCCATGTTCTGTGTACTGTGGGAGACCAGATATAGTGAATGCAGGGTCCGGGGGAGAGCGGATATAGTGGATGCAGGGTCCGGGGAGAGCAGATATAGTGAATGCAGGGTCCGGGGAGATCAGATATAGTGAATGCAGGGTCCAGGGAGACCAGATATAGTGAATGCAGGGTCCGGGGAGACCGGATATAATGAATTCAGGGTCCAGGGAGAGCTGAGATATAGTGAATGCAGGGTCCGGGGAGACCGGATATAGTGAATGCAGGGTCCAGGGAGACCAGATATAGTGAATGTAGGGTCCGGGGAGAGCAGATATAGTGAATGCAGGGTCGGGGAGACCGGATATAATGAATTCAGGGTCCAGGGAGAGCTGATATAGTGAATGCAGGGTCCGGGGAGACCGGATATAGTGAATGCAGAGTCCATGGAGACCGGATATAGTGAATGCGGGGTCCGGGGAGACCAGATATAGTGAATGCAGGGTCCGGGAGAGCGGATATAGTGAATGCAGGGTCCGGGGAGACCAGATATAGTGAATGCAGGGTCCGGGGGGAGACCAGAGATAGTGAATGCAGGGTCGGGGGAGGACCGGATATAGTGAATGCAGGGTCCGGGACAGCGGATATAGTGAATGCAGGGTCCGGGGAGACCGGATATAGTGAATGCAGGGGTCCGGGACAGCGGATATAGTGAATGCAGGGTCCAGGGAGACCGGATATAGTGAATGCAGATTTTGGAGAGACCAGATATAGTGAATGCAGGGTCCAGGGAGACTGGATAGAGTGAATGCAGGGTCCGGGGTTTAGTAACAGTTTAAGTCTAGTATCGTACAATCTATGCCGCCTCTCCCCTCCTCTTGCCCGATTACAGAAGACTTTGTATTACGTGAACACGTTCACAAAATACAAAGGCTTCTGTGAATGGCCAGCAGAGGGGTGGGGGGTGGGCATAGCTGCTCTGTGTCTTTCTCTCCTCTCAGATACTTGAATGCAGGGTCCAGCGAGAGAGGATATAGTGAATGCAGGGTCCGGGTCGGGTTAGAGCGGATATATTGAATGCAGGGTCCAGAGAGACCGGATATAGTGAATGCAGGGTCCGGGGGAGAGCGGATATAGTGAATGCAGGGTCCGGGACAGCGGATATAGTGAATGCAGGGTCCAGGGAGACCGGATATAGTGAATGCAGATTTCGGAGAGACCAGATATAGTGAATGCAGGGTCCGGGGAGACTGGATAGAGTGAATGCAGGGTCCGGGGTTTAGTAACAGTTTAAGTCTAGTACGGTACAATCTATGCCTGCCTCTCCCCTCCTCTTGCCCGATTACAGAAGACTTTGTATTACGTGAACACGTTCACAAAATACAAAGGCTTCTGTGAATGGCAGCAGAGGGGTAGGGTGGGCATAGCTGCTCTGTGTCTTTCTCTCCTCTCAGATACCCGTGTCTTTTAAAAACATATATTTCTTAAAATATATTCTTTAGATTTTTTTGTTTTAACGTTTTAAAAAATAGTCATTTTTACATATGTTTGTGAATGCATTCCAAAAATGTAGATTTGTATTTTTAAAGACATACAGGATATTTGAAATGTATTTGTAAAAAATATTATTTCATATGTTTTGTAATAAAAATCGCATTTCAACATGCAGTATATATATATATGTGTGTATGTATATATATTTATATATATTTATTTATTTAAATATATTTTGTAGTCTTTCAAATTATATGACAATATATTTGGAAAGAATATTTTAAAAAATATATTTTAAATATATCTTTTTTTCCATGTGGGGTATGCATTGGCGTGCGTTACGGTGTGACGGAACCCGGCAGAGAAGGTGACCTCGGGTGTAGAGAATGATGAATTCAGAGGTCATGGTAGATTGTCAGAGTATAGGATCGTTGGGATTCAGCGCTGCGGGGGAGCCGGTTACCCCCCCGACGGCCGGGGTCGGGCTATAAACGCTCACCATACAACATCGACACAGTCTTGGATGCCACCCAGACACAATGATGTCAGTGTAATCCCAACACAAGGGGCCACCACTTCCCTCTGCCCTCCACTCAGCTGGACAAGCAGCCTGGGAAGCTCACAAAGCCTCCCTCTCCCTTTATCGGGGAAGACGCTCTCTCTGTGAAGTCAGGCCAAGCACCCCCCCCCCCCCCAAGCCGGGGGAGGCGAGATTGGTGGAGAAAGCACTCGGAGCCTCAATAGAGCCTTTTATCTGGATGCTGAAGGCACACATCAAAGATCAGGTTGTGGAAAAAACCAGAAAATACACACAACTTCGGGCAATATATAACCTCTTAGCCAACAGGGAACTAAAATCGTCCTTCCAGCCAAACACAAATACCGTTTTCACCCGTCAAAAACTTTATTTTCTTAAAACTGGAAAAAGAGAAATATTCATTTAGACTCCAAAGTTGTGCGATTTCCATTTCGACTTTGGATGGGTGCGACTTTGGCTACGACCCGTCGCAATGATAACATTGGGATGTGACTTTTGAGAGTTATATGTTGCAGTCTGTGGCACACATCAAAGTAGTGCAGGAGCCTTTTTAAAGTCACCGCGACTTTTAAATCGCATCGATTTGAACGGCTTCCTTTTGGAAATACATGGACTGTGACTTCTCTGGTGCCTTTATGGGGTTCTGATTTGAGTTACTAAAACCAGAGGACTCAGAGTCTGATGCAGCTGTGCACAGTAGCAATCAGCTTCTAATTTCAGTCTGTTCAGTTTACCCTCGGTTCACACCTAATGCAGGCCATAGATGGGTCGAAAACCGGCCATTTTTTTATTAAAAAAATGAAAAATCAGTCGTTTGATCGGCCGACGTTACTGCCAACTGTAAAGAAAAACGGCCGATTTTTGTCCCGTCTACGGCCGCCATTTAATTACTTCTGTCCCTTGCAGAGAGCTCCGCTATTATATTTGACATGAAAAAGTATTGCGGTTGCAACAATGTATCCATTTGTATCCATTTGTATCCATGTCGGATACAAATGTTTTTATTCGGATACAAATGGATACATTGTTGCAACCGCAATACTTTACCTATAAAATATAATAGCGGACTGGAATTCTTCTTTCTTCTCCTTCTTCTCCTTTTCTCCTTCTCTTTCTTCTTCTTCCTGATTTGCCCATCATTTCCGGGAAAATCGGCCGATCGGTAAAATCGGGCCGATTTTTTTCCAACTTTACCAATAAAAAAAATGTGCCGAAAACCCAAAAAATATGGCCGACCACGATTAATTAACCACTAACTAATCGGCCGATTCTTTTTTCCACTGAAAAATTGGCCGATTTTAGACCCATCTATGGCCTGCATAAGGCTGGCCATACACTATTACAATTGTCTGTTCAATTTCTACCCAATTTCTTTTAGATTTACTGTCAGCTATGTAGTGCAAGAGCCCGCCTAATTGGATACAATTGAAAGTGTGTTGTTAGGTTTGACCTCCTATTATATGGTTTTTGGTAAATCTAAAGCAAAAATTCTCAAGAAAAATTGTATAATGTATTATGGGCCAGCCTAAGCGTTTTGCAGAAAAAACACATACAGTCCATTTGACATGATTTCCTATGGGACTCGTTCACAATCTCGCCTTTTTTTGGAAATGGGTCAGGGACTTTTTTGAATGCAAAAAGTTGCTTTTCTGGTTCTATAGACTTCAATGGAAATGCTTGCAGAAATGCATGTAGTGCGTTTTTTGCAGCATTTTTGCCTCTTTGTTTATGCGTTTTGGGTGTTTAAACTCTGCCTAGCAACAAGAAATTTTTTTTTTAAAAAAAATGCATTAACGTAACCTACATAGGGAAAAAAATTTTTTTAATGCAAAAACGCATCAAAAAAGAGGCAAAAAAAAAAAAAAATGCTGCAAAAACACAAAATACAGAGCAAAAACGCCAATTGCAGAAAATGGCTCAAACGTAACCTGCATAGGCAAAAAAATATGTAAAAAAAAGCAAAACGCATCAAAATGCTGGTGTGCAAAAATGCAAAACACAGCGCAAAAACGCAAATGTGGCTCAAACACAACCTACATAGGCAAAAATGAAAAGTAAAAAAAAAATGCAAACACATCAAAAAACGCTGGTGAAAAATACCAGCGCAAAACGCAATGCAGAAAATGGGTCGGTGGTCGGGAAGGATCAAACGCAACATGAATAGGTGTGTCAAAGGCCTTACACTTTGACAAAACAAACTTGGAAGCCTGATTGGCTCCATCTGCAGAGCTGCACCAGATTTGCGCTCCTCCAGTTTAGCGCGGCATGTAACGTTAGCGGCATAAAGTCGCGTTGAAAAATGTGAGTTTTTCAACAACTTTTTTTTTAGCATTATTGCATTAGTCAAAAAAAATATATATCCCCGGCGCCTAAAAAACTATTTTGTTTGCAGATTTTGCGCTGTTTTTTGTTGTTATTGCATTAGTGTTTTTGCCGGCATTTTAACAGCATTTTTCCATATGTTCGCATTTTTAGCGGATTTTTTTAGCATTTTTTTTAATCCAAAAAAAGTTTCTTCTTGTAAAAAAAAAGTCCAAAAACACCATGTTTTGCAGCAGTTTTACCTATGGTGATTGCTGCGTTTGTCGGCGTTTAGAGCATTTTTATAGCTAAAAATACTCACTCTACAAACCCGCTACATCCTGTTTTTTTTTTTCTAGCCAAAAAACGTTTCCAGACCAAAAACCCATTGATTCCAGTTCTTATTTGTGAATGGACACATAGGGATAACATGCTGGGGGGTTTTTTACTGGCTGTAGAAAAAAAAACAATCAAAAGCCAAAAAAACAGCCGCTGTAAAAATCTGAGTCGCGTGTTGCAGGAGCGAGACTTAGTAAATCACACCCTCAGCTGTGTCCGAAGTTGCATCAGCAAAAAGGTCGCACAAGGTGGGAAGGCAGGACTTCCCCCTGGGTCACACCGGTGCGACACACACAGGCACCACAGATAACTCCTTTGATTGCCCCTGGATGTTCAACCCCTTCCCTGACCCAGATCCATTAGTAACAGTGTCAGTGCGTTTCATTAGCACAACGGATTGAAAAAGCACCAGCAGAGACTATACACAATAAGCAGGTTTGCATTCTCCATGGTAAAAAACACACACAGCACACAGTTAACCCTTTGATTGCCCCTGATGTTAATCCCTTCCTGCCCAGTGCCATTAATACAGTGTCAGTGCTTTTTTTCATTAGCACCGTTTGAAAAGCACAGCAGAGAGATACCAAAGCAGCATGTCTCCATGGTAAAACACACACACACACAGCACACACAGTTTAACCCTTTGAATTGCCCCTGATGTTAACCCCTTTTCCTGCCCAGTGCACATTAGTACAGTGTATCAGTGCTAATTTCATTAGCACTGATCACTAATAAATTAGGGTCACTGGGGATGTCAGTGGCAATCAGTTCCCCACCTCCCCAGTGTCAGGAATGTCCGCGATAGTCCCGCTATACAAGTCGCATGACATTGCCACCATTACTAGTATGAAAAAATAATAAAGCATATATACCGCCATTTGTAGACTCTATAACTTTTCACGTAAACCAATTAATATACAGTTAGGTCCATGCATATATGGCACATACAGCACAATTTTAGTTTTTTTTTTCAGGTATTTATTATCAAAACATATTCAAGCTATCGAGTTCTATATTGGATATGGTGGCTGAAAGTGCACACACTCAGGTATAATATTGAGGGTATGTACATCCAAATATGGAGGACGATCCCGTTGAAAAAAGGGGGGATGGCTACTCTTAATGAGCTGTAATCTCCTAAGACTCCTTCCTCCAATCAAGGATTACACCTGAGAGTGCGCCACTTATCAGCCCATATCCATTCCATATACTGTATAATTGTAGCTTGAATACGTTTGGTAAATACCTGAAAAAAACTAAAATTGTGCCTGCGGGATTGGAGGTCCAAATATACTATGGGACCTAACTGTACAAATATTGGTTTTTTTTTGTTTTGTTTTTTTTAGCAAAGACACGGAGCAGAATACATTTTGGCCTAAAATTATGAAGAAATTAGATATATTAAAAATTTTTTATTAGTTAGACATGTTTAACCACATTCCCCGACCGGTCCGTTAAGCATATAAAGCGGCCCGGACGGATGGCAGACTGCAAGGGTCAGGTGGCCATTTATAAAACGGCCTCCACCCGCACCCTGCTATTGTGCGCGCAGATCCCCTGGGAGCGCGCAACCGCACCCAGTCGAGTGAGCGATCCGGTGCCCCTCTGTGTCCCTCCGCCGATACAGTTGAAACATCCCGACTCGTCGGACGGGACCTATCTGTACGAGGTTATCCAATCATGTGACATCACTGATTGGCCAATTCAGTGAGCGATCAACAATGCAAAGTAGTAAGCAAGATGTCACTTGTGACATCTTCATTGCTGTACTACGTGTGAAATTCTGTGAATGATCACAGAGGTCACATGGTACAAGGCTATTCACAACAGCCTTGTACCATGTGACAAGCTGTGACAATCACAGCTCACTCAGTTACTTCTCAATGACTGCAAGAATGCACACAGAGAGAGAAAGAGAAATGATTGCTTTTACATCCTATATGGGTGTAAAAAAGCAATGTGTAAAAAAAAAAAAAAAAAAAAAACATCTTCATCACCCCCCACAAGTAGTACAGTGTCACCATGGTGACACTGTACTGCTAGGGTGACAGTATGTAAAAAAAAAAATGTAAAAAATAAAAAATAATAATATAAAAAAATAAAATAAAAATTAAAAAAAAAAATGTTTAAAAAATTATAATTTTTGGTTTAAAACTAATTTGGATTTTTTTTTTTTTCTACTAAAAAGATAACGGAATAAATTTTGGCCAAGAATTCGTATGATGAAATATTATTTATTTGCAAAATTTTATTAAAAAAACACACTTTTTTTTTTCAAAATGTTTTGGACATTTATCATTTACATAGTAAAAAAATATATCAAATCCCAGCGCGTGAATAAATACCACCAAAATAAAGCTTTATCTGTCTCAAAAAAAAATGGTAAAAAATTCATTTTGGTACAGGGTTGCGCAAATGACCCGCGCAATTGTCATTCAAAAGTGTGATAGCGCTGAAAGCTGAAAATTGCCGCTGGTTCAGTGAAGGGGGTAAAAGTGTCCGGTTCTGGAAGGGGGTTAAAAGTGGTCCTGACCTGGAAGGGGGTGTTTAAAGTGTGTCCGGTACTGGAAGGGGGGGAAAGTGTCCGGTCTGGAAGGGGGGGAAAGTGTCCGGACTGGAAGGGGGGGAAAGTGTTCGGACTGGAAGGGGGTGAAAGTGTCCGGTCCTGGAAGGGGGTAAAAAGTGTCCGGTCTGGAAGGGGGGGGAAAAAGTGTCCCGGTACTGGAAGGGGGGGAAAGTGTCCGGACTGGAATGGGGGGGAAAGTGTCCGGATACTGGAAGGGGGGGAAAAGTGTCCGGACTGAAGGGGGGGAAGTGTCCGGACTGGAAGGGGGTGCGGGTGTGGGGAGCCGGTATCTGGGTGGGTTAAAAGTGTCCGGGGCTGGAAGGGGGGGGGGGAAAGTGTCCGGACTGGAAGGGGGGCCCCCCCCCACAAGTGTCCGGGACTGTCCTGGCAGGGGGGGAAAGTGATCGGGACTGGAAGGGGGGGAAAGAAGTGTTCGGACTGGAAGGGGAAACAAGTGTTCGGATCTGGAAGGGGTGAAAGTAGTCCGGACTGGAAGGGGGGACAAGAACTAGGAAGTGGGGGGAAAGTGTGTCCGGACTGAAGGGGGGGAAAGTGTCCTGGCGGACTGGAGCGAGAGTAGGGGGGGAAAGTGTACACTCCTGAAGGGGGGACGGGGGGGTTGTTGGTGGATGGAAGGGGGGGAGGGGGGGGGGTGGGGGGGGGGGTGGGAAACGTAGAGGAGTCCGGATGCAAGGGAGGGAAAGTGTCGGACTGGAAGGGGGGGAAGTGTTCCGGACCTGGTAAGGGGGGGAAAGTGTCCAGACTGGAAGGGGGGGGAAAGTGTCGACCAGCACTGAAGGGGGGGACAAAGTGTCCAGGGAAAGTGTCCGAGGACATCTGGACTCAGGGCGTGTGAAGGGTGAAGTGTCCGGGACATGGAAGGGGGGGAGTGAAGTGTCCGAGACTGGAAGGGGGGGAAAAGTGTCCGGACTTTGAAGGGGGGGAAAAGTGTCGGACCCTGGAAGGGGTTCTTTAAAGTGTCCGGACTGGGAAGTGAGGTTAACAGCAAAAAGTCAAAAATATATTTTTTTTTTTTCAAAATTTGTACGGTCTTTTTTTTGTTTATAGCACAAATAATAAACAAAACGCACAGGCAATTAAATACCACCAAAATGAAAGCTCTATTTGTGGGGGAAAAAAAATGACATAAGTTTCATTTAAGTACAATTTCAGTATTGGCATGATTGCGATTGTCAGTTAAAGTAACTGCAGCGCCGTATTGCAAAAAAATGGCCATGGGTCAGGAAGAGAAGGGGTGGGGGGGGGGGAGTTTATTCCTCAGGAGGGCATAGTGGTTTTAAACCCGAGTCACACAAATGTTATGTAAATTGCAATTTAACCAGTCCTTGGATGCAGTGGCTGCATTTGTTTTCCGGTGGACCCCCAGGAGACACACTCTGCATTTCTTGTCTTCCTATCACAATGGGACAGGATAGTGAAGGAAAATCTCCCCAATGGGGACACAGACAGTAATAAACAACCTGAGAGAAACTGTAACTTCTCCAATGTATTTTAAAACGGAAAAAAAACAAAAGATTAGGGCTGGAGGTCAGCGTTAATATGCTAGTGGTCTTTTTGTTTTTTTTCTTTTTCGGCACCTTGGCCCAATCGCTCTCATTTTTACAGCGTGTCACAGCATGGCTTTCGGGGACTAATTCAGTTGTGCAGTTTTAATGCATTTCCAGGAAATGCTCTCTTTCAATATATTTAGAGGCACTAATTTTTGTCCTTAGACAGTCACAGAGTAAGATATGCAAACACATTGGACCATGCCCATTAAAGCAGTTCATTCAACAGTATCTGAAATGTCATTTGTTTTTACTGAGCTTTGGGCATACTTTAATTGCCTCAGTAAATGACTTATCACAAAGCAAATAGTAAATCATGCCTTAGAACTTCATACATCAGTGCGTGCGTTATCCACGCCGAACCTCACATTGTTTTCCCATTGTAATGGCTCACTGTGTCAGTGGCTGCGGTAATGTAGGGAGCAAATCTCTTCCGGAGAAGGATCAGAACTGGTCTGCAAACTTAGATGGAGCAGCAGATACAGGCAACAGTCCCCCAGAAATACAAACATCCCATCTACACTACAACTCATACTTAACCCCCCTAGCGGTCTGATTATGTCAGTATTTCTGTGCTCAAAGCGTATGTACATTTTTTTGCATGGATATACGTATTTTTTTTATTGTAGGCCTGTAATTCTTAGGAATAACTCACTGGAAATCTGTCCAAACAAGAGTCTAGTAAACATCCCGGGTGATGATAACATTTGAAACACGAAATAATAAATTATATATTTAATAAATAATCATATAAAAATAATAATATAATAATAATAAATTTAATTCAATAATATAATCAAACCAAAAACACTGAAATGTGAAATATAGAGCGCCAAGTTCGCACATCGCTGAGCAAAGTCGCAGAATCGTTTTTCAGTGTCTGATGAGGAATTTCCCCCACGAATCATTATCACTCAATTCTGCAAGTGGTTCTGATTTACTATCGCTGTTCTCTAGCTGGTTTAAAACCGCGTCTGACCTTAAAGGGCGCTTTTTGGACGCCATGGACGTTTCTCAGTTTCCTAGGCAGAAAAGAACAGTAAAAATGCAGGCAGGGCGCCGGGACAAAGCACTCGGGACAAAAATGTATGTGAATGATGGTTTGATACAGGAATGTTATACTATGTGATTTTAGTGTATTTAGTGAATGTCACTTTTACAACCTTCAAATTTCCCACCAGTTCCCATCCCCCCCGTATAGTCCCGACGTAGAACAGGGACACCCTGGAACCCGGAAGACAGATGCCGCGCATCAGCCCCCCGAGGGGACATTGCTGGGGACACTGCAGGAGGGACACCCCCCCCCCCTGCAG